AGTACCCCCTCTTCCCATTCAGCGATGACCATCGGATCTAACTAAAAGTACATTATGACATATACAGATCGCTACACAATCTTTTTGTTACTCTTTTGCACTGCACTCCAAAGAACAATATACTTAGCAGAATTGACTTCATTGTGACATGATTAAGAGATGTTACAAAAGCATATATATAGGTATACTGCAATGCAACCATTTTCACACACAACAAAAGTCGTACATTCAATGTGAAATTAGATTAGTACTCACCATATTTAATTGCAATAAATTGTGAGAAAATGCAAAGTTTAAGCAAAAGCAAGTTCTGGAGCGTATATTTTTAGCATAAATGGCCAAAGGATTATAATCCCGGACTGTAAAGTTTTGGTTTGTTTTCAATAACGTAAAAAAAGTGTTATCAATAATGTGTATCTGTATTTTGAAATGAACAGGATTGTGGTGGAGTGTATTCAATAATAGTACATTATATATCAAGGTGTAAGGTGCGAAGGCAATAAAACACTTCTCTACCGTGGTATATATACTATTTTTTCACTACTAGCACTTGAAATCCTCTAAATTAACATATTATATTGATAAGAAAGTGAACGGTTGGACGGAATTTTTTGTTTATTAATTTAACATGTCAATCAAGTACGTGGAAGTACAAGTCAAACAGGCCGTATTTTGTTCTGTCATTGAGATATTTTTAAAGAGTGATTTCGTTCGAATTTTTTCAAAATGTGATAATTTTAGGTATGTAATTTCTCTGGAAATGGCGGATGGTGGCAATTATTCATTTTAGAGAACTTGTCTAAACGTTGATTGAGCGAAATTTTGGGTTGTGTTTTCTAAAAGTGACAGCGTGACAGTTCTCATTATTGACTACTAGTTAATAATGTCCACACTTTACTTTACAAGTGGAAAAAAGGTTAATAATCATGTCATCAGACGCTAGTAGTGAAAAAAAGCAATTATTCTATTTTCGTAAGGCTAAATAGATAATTTGGTAGTGAGGGAGAATGGGTGATGAGCGACCTTCAAATTTCTGAAAGGGTCCATATATCTACGGGGCACTGAATAGCAATAATAACAATATACAGTATAAGGCACGTTGAAATCGACATTTAAGCTACCCAAATAATTTCCACAATAAATTGAAAAAATTAAAGCTACGTTTGTTTAAATTTAATTCAGTTATATACTACAACAAATAATAACGTTTATTTCAAATAAAGTAAAAATCGGCTATCAACATTGTTTGAATTGCACTAGGTACAAACGTTTCAAACTAAAAAGCTATAAATCTCTCAAGATGAATGAAAAAATAATTAACTCAACAGATATGGGACAATCTTAAGGTAAACTTGTCTCGTATATCTTTAACAATATTAATAATTATTCACTGAACTTATAAGAAATTAGCAAAAGTAAAGCAAAAACAACAAGTTAAAAAGTAATCGTAAACGATTTACATAAAGCGCATTTCCACTTGCATTCATTTCTCATTTGTAAGATGCAACTTCTGTTAAAATCGTAAAAATCCGGCCACAAATATGAAAGATAGCGTTGCACATGGGCAATCCATTGTTGACGTGCTATTTCAATTTCAGTTTATGAGAAGAATTTCATTTCAATGCTTTTCTAAATAAGAAAGTTGGAACTGCGCATGCGCAAACCTAAATTTTAAAACTAATGTTAGATTTTCCTTTGTTCCAAGCGCCTATGTATCAAATTTCGTTTAAATTCTTCCATAAATAAAAAAGTTGGCACTGCGCATGCGCAAAACCAAATTTTGAAATTGGCGTTTGATTTCCCTTTATTCCAAGTGCCTATGTATCAAATTTCATTCAAATACTTTTATAAGTAAAAAAGTTTGCAATTCGGTTTATAAATGGTCGAGATGCGAAAAGGGCACTGTGAATTTTGAATCGATTCGATTCAACTTTTGGCATTGCGTATTATATGGCTAAAGCTATGCCCATATTGAATTTCATGCAATTCAGTTCATAACTAACGGAGATGTAAAAGCGATCGAACATTTCTAAACAAAGCTATCGTTCACACGGACAGATAGATGGACAGACAGACAAAGGAACAGACGGAGAGACCAACCGGCAGGCTACAGATAGCAATGCAAAATTATAAACGATCTCTAGGATCGTTAATAAAGGGCAAAAGTGTAAAATTATGGAACATCTAAAAAACGGTTTTTTGTTTTTTTTACAATAACTTTTTTTGTAAGCGGTACAGAAAAAATTCCTTCCTTGGTACAAGACTCGACACCATAACGAACCAAATAGCGAAAAAGTAGAACAATAGCTCTTAAGATAAAGAACTAGTAGCGTCGCAAAACGAGCGGACGGACGGACGGACAAAGTGGCCACAATTTTTTTTTTTGTGGAAATGCGCTAAAAATAAATCAACAATGATCTATTAAAATCTCGAACGCGTTTCAACAGCAAGGCAGTTATCATCAGCGAACAACAGTTGTGACGGCTAGTCGATGAAAAAGATTTGGAAAGTAAGGTGTCCCATCACGTCCGCCTCCTTTCATTCGGTTTGCTGAACTAAGTAGCGTGTTTAAGTTGAAAATGGATCAAAGTGGTCACGGACGAACTGTGGAATTCTTCTGTTTCCTTCATAATTTGCTTCGAGGTTTTATTTTATTGATAAGGTATTCTGGCACAGAGAAAGTACAAATCATTTAATACTCGTAGACGTGCAACTAACTAAAATCCATTGCCACCACACTGACATAATTTTATGAAAAACACGAAATAAAAACATTAAGAACTGTGTTTGTTACGTTAAAAATAAAAAAAAGATAATGTTCGCATTACATCATACATTAAAATTTAATGAATTTACAAATTTAATTCTACTATAATATCTCTTAGAAATTAAAAAAAAACAATAACAATAATTTCATTAATTATTTTAGTTTTTTGGTCTCATTTTTTTAAATTAACAATTGAAAAGAAACTTTATTAATTACTGAAATCTGCTCTTAAAATTGTTTAATGATCTTCCTAATTTAGTTAAAAAAACTTCTTCATTCAGTCTGTGAGAATTTCTTTTATTCCAAACGTTCACTATTATTCATAACGAAAAACAACGTTAACCGTCCTTTGATAATTGGTATGTTTTTCTTCGGGGGGGGGGGGGGGGTTACAATTTACTCCATTTATGTTGAGCGAGCACCCTTAGGATTCTTTAATTATTTTCTGCAGGATATTACTGGATTTTCTACATGTCTCGTCCATCTGAACTCGCTATCAAACGTTAGCCCCAAAAATGTTAGTTCTTCTGAAACATTAATGCTCCGTTCGTTTATAAATAGAACTAGACCGTAATGTGGTCTTAGATGTCGACGGAAATCCGTGAGCCTTTTTAATAATATTTTTTATTCATCACCAACCTTTTTACCTGCACAGAAAATCGTCGACATTCCTCCATTTCCATTTCCTCAGCGACATTCATGGCTATTTCGTGAAAGGCAATACTAAACAGACAGCAACTAAGTGTTGACCCCTGAGACACCAAAACATGCTCGTTTGAGTACGTGTCACCCACTCTGAGCACAAATTTCCTGTCTCCCATAAATGTTGGTAGTCCCGCATAAATTATGTTCAAACATGTTTTTCCGTTCCTCCAGGTCATATCATATGCAGTATGCTCCCTTTATGTTGCAGTTACCTAAGCGAAAGTATTGTTGGGGGCAACAAAAAGTGTCCACTTTCTTTTTGACCTCTGGACAAGACATAAGTTATAAAACTTTTACTTCTTAAATCTTCATTTCATGTTTATATTTTTCACATGATTTTGATATTGCTTAATGCAGCCCTTAACAATTTGGACTCTCTATAGGAATTTAGCACTCCGTACCCACATGATGAAGATTTCCGCACACGGATTTGAGTTCGGTTTTGCAGTTCCATACGAGCGCCTAAATGTTTGACAGTTGAAACAACGTAAGGGTTTGGATCAATGAAGTAACCAATATCTCCCCATAATACTTTAAGTACCTAACGATTAATACAAACGGAGAAATTTGACGGTTAGTTTCGTAAAATTTGTGAATAACTTCGAAATTAACTCTTGAAACACATAATATTAGGGCAATGTTTTCATTGCAGACATAAAGTTGTTTAATTCTATTAATTATTCAAACTCTCTACGTGACCTGGTGAATATTCACTTATCGCAGTTTGGTATACAGGTAAATAATTAATTGGGGATAAAAGTTCACGAATTGTGGCGCACTTGGAACACCTAATGCACCCGTGGAATATTTTATTTTGTGCAAATATGAATTTATTACTTTTAGTTACACGATTGGAAAACTAAACCAATTTGTCGTAATTAAAGTTTACTATAGAGAATGCCACGTATGCCGCCAGTACAAAACAATGCAACGACCCGATTTCGGTGTCAGGTGTTGCCCCATACGAACGAAACAATGCACTTACTACAATGAACTTAATTTACTGTGCTTTTTTACTGTTTGATCGAGTTTTATTTATTATATGAGGTTGGGACTACCTACACGTTAGCAATTACTTTATTAAAACGTTTTCGAACCAAAACCCTTTCTAAAGCGAGGGTGCTCGACTTCGCCTTTTATACTCGTGCAGTACTGCACAGCAAGATACTATTTATGCTACCCGCACAAGCAAACCTGAATCTTAGCAGACGACTTACACGTTATGACAGGTGATGTGGGCCTTCCCCGTTTCATACTTTTACTTCTATTTTTACTAAATCTGTAGCCGTGTACTAACGCAATTCTCGCGACCAGCGTGGATGATTGTAAAACCTACGCATTTTTTAACACGCTTCGTTGTCGCTGTTAAACCTATTTACCTTTCAATTAAATTGTCTAGTTCTGTTAAATGCTGAAGCCTGATGGTATAGATTACAGATTTAATAGGATGTAATAAAAATTCTATGTTAGATCTTGTCCATCATTTGGTCCCAATTCAATTCTTTGAATTATAGAACAACAATTTATCAAATATACATTATATTTAAACATCAGAGATAACATCAGAAATGAATACTTAGATGTAAAATACTCCAACTCAATCGTCAGCGATATCGTGTACAATACATTTCGTAATATTATACATTTTTACGCAAATGTCTTCTATACCGGCTGACTCGTCAACACACAATTGTGATAGATCAGGTGTTAGTGCGTATATATGTTGCAACATTTGGTCCTGATCCAGTTCTTGGTCCGAATTAAGGAACGACATCCTGTCAAATATGCATTTCATGTAGCAGTGAAAGGTTGATTCATCTGGAAGATGGACATGTCTGAACATGTTCTTTGCAATGTCCCAATCCACGTTCGTGGTACTAACGCAATAATCGATATGCGGAAGTACACCCTTTTCCCATTCATCGATGACCACCGGATCTAACTAAAAATAATATTGTCACATACAGACCTCCACCAAATCTTTTTTTTACTGTTTTGCACTGCACTGCACAGTACATTATACTTAGCAGAACCAGAATTGACTTCATTGTGACATGATTAAGAGAGGTTACAAAAGCCTATATATACTACAATCATTTTCACACATAAAAAGTTATAAATTCTTAAAGTACCATACAATGGTTACCACATTTAACAACAATTATGAGAAAGATACCTAACACAATTGTATTCGTAAGCGAAAACAAGTTCTGGAATGAACATTTTTAGAATAAATGGTACGAGATTTATAATCCCTATTACCTTACACAGTAAAATTCTTATTCTGGTTTGTTTTGATTAACCTAACATAAAAGTTTATCAGTAATGTGTATCTGTATGTTGAAGTTGAAATGAACAGAATGGTTGGGAGTGTATTTAATTGAATAAGCAATTTTCGTGTATGGCTAAATGTATTCAAATGGAGTAGTGAAGGAGAGTGTTTGGTGCTGGATGAATTTATTGTGAAAGGGTCACAGTATCTACTGAAATAACACAATAAGGCACGTTGCTATGCAAATGATTTAACAATAAATGCAAAACATTGAAGCTAGGTTTAAATAATTCAGTTGTTTACTACAAAAACAGTAAAATTTATTGCAAACGGAGTCGAAATCAGTCATCGACATTGTTTCTAAAAGTATATTTGACTTATAAACTTTTTCCATGAATGTTTCGAAATGATTGAAAAAAGAGGTAACTCATCAAGGCATGCGATTTAACACGGAGTAGGTCAACTCGGCGATGGTAAACTCGGCGATTCTAAGTCGGCGATCGTCAACTCGGCGATAGTAAACTCGGCGACGGTCAGCTCGGCGACGAAACACTTTCAAAATTATTATGTTATCACTGTCATAGGCAATTAGATTACCTAGGCTCAAGTTTAAAGCAGCATTCCGATTGGTTTTTGTTAACCTCGAGATATGAACATGAACAAAATGCTTTGTATTCGTATGATAAGTTTGTATGTACCTTTGTGCTTGTGTCCGCTACTTTTAGTGCAAATAATATTTATCATTCTGGTAAGAAAAGATACGCTCGAGGATAAGGGCCCAGTTTTTTCGGTACTGTACTGTTTGCTACCCGATAAAAACACAGAGAAATTGTTCACAATGATCAGAGAACTTTGGCCACTATTGATTCCGGAAAGCATCAGCGTGGACTACGAATTGGGTATTCACCAGGCGATACGACAAATTTTACCAGAAGCATAAATTTGGGGGTGTTTATTCCACCTTGTAAAGAATCTTCGAAGGCATTTATCTTCCTGCAATCTCCTTGGGCGCTACAATTCTGATCCAGAATTTGCAATTTGCACTACAAGCGAACGACTGGCGTTTGTTCCAGGAGCGGATGTGGTTACTGCCATTGAGATGAATTAGAGAATTATTTGCCAGATGAATTCGAACCAATTTTGGAGTGGTTCAGCAATAATTATATCGGTCGGCTAAGAAATAATAAGACCAGAATGCCGCCAACCTTTCCATCGGCGAATTGGGTTACGTTTATTTTCGGACTTTAAATGGACGAGACAGAACAAATAATTTCGCCGAAGCATGCCATCGTAAGCTGCAATTAGTCTTTGGTTCTGGGATTACTCATCCCACATTATGGACATTCATAGAAAATGTAAGCATAATTATGATGTTGACTACGAAAGAGCAATAACAGTTATAATTTCACCAAGTTGGCGTCGCCGAGTTGACCGTCGCCGGGTTTACCATCGGCAAGTTGACCATCGCCGAGCTGGTATCGCCGAGTTGACCATTACCGACTTGGTATCGCCGAGTTGTCGCGTACCGGGTTTAACAATATTAATAACTAACCACTAGAAAGTAATGTGTTTGCTAAAACAGTACGTAAGGGTAAGAGGAATACCTCCACTCTCCGTAATGTGAAGACTAGTCCTTTTATTCGAGTTGCGCCATAAGTAACATTTTTAGGTTGGAAATGAACCGAAGTGGCCGCGTACGGTCTGTAGCATTCCTCTGCCTTATCTATAATTTTGAAATGCTTGGGACCATTATTTTATTGCTAATATAGTAATGTGAAGCGTGATTCTGATTATCCTAGTAAAGAAAAAGTACAAATCAACTTGGGCGACTAATTAAAATCGTTGAATAAAAACTAAAATCGACTGCCACCGCAATCGCATAATTTTATAATAAACCAGATAAACAATAAATAATAGTAGGTTAATTAAAACATTAGTTTATAATGTAAGCGATTATAATAGGAGTGATTGTTATAACATGAAAGAAGTGGTGTTATAACAACAATGACTATCATAGTCGCACAATAACTTTATAATAATTATGGGAATCTGTTAAAATGTTTAATGATCTTTCTAATGCAGTTAAAACACTCTTCCTGTTCACTCTAATGAAAATGTTTAGTGTCATAGCGAAAAATAACGTTACACCTTAATAATTGGTATTTATTTTAAGAATTATAGCGTGGTAACTACCGGGTCCTCTAGTTGGGTATACCTTCTCATGTTTCGCGGCCTTATAGGTATCTACTGTAGAAGATTTCTTATGTTATTTTGGTTTCTTAGTTTATCAGGTAAGATACCAAAAATAAAGTACATTTGACGTAAAGGTACATATTACAGTAATACAGTGGACATATATGCACTGTGTCCAAGATAAGGCAGTCTATCATGGGGATCTCCGAAACCATAGAAGATACGACGATGGTCAAATTAGAGAAATGATGCCTAATTAAAAAGTTATTATCATGCTTTAAAGAAACCTATAAAATTTTGATTACTTACTTCCGAAGATATGCCAGAAAAATCGAAATTTGCCGATTTCGTTTTTATTTTTTTTCTTGATACTATTTGGACAGATACAAATAAAATAAAAGACACTTTCTCATTGACACTTCTTAATCTTTACAAGATAGCGTTGAGAGATTGTCAATTTAAAGTTCAGTTTTAGAAAAACCATCGTCAACTTCATTTTTTGTATGGCCCGTAAAAAAAGTACATACTGTATTGAGTAGAATTTTTTATTACGAATACAACGATTTACGGCATACAAAAAAAACAAAAGTTGCAAACTGTTGGTTTCAACATGATGGTGCCCCCGTGCACAAAGCCGTAATCGTGCGTTCATACCTATCAGAGAAATTGTCCATTTTCCAGGAAATTTTTCCGAGATAGGTAATCTCTCACTATTAGGGCGCGGGTGCAGCATCCTGTTGAAGCCCCAGAGTTTTTTTGTGTCGTACATCGTTGTATCTATTCGTAATACAAAATGCTACTGAATACAGTATGTACTTTTTTTACGGGTCACACAAAAAAATAAAGTTGATGATTTCTTGGAATCGAAACGTTGTATTGAAAATGTCTCAATGCGATCTTGTAATAATAATAATATAATAATAATATATTTTAGTGCATAGACCAACCAAACGTATGTATAGCACAAGTCAATTACAAACTAACAATTAAGTAACAATGAAAGATTAAAAAATTCACTAGTGGTGTAAAATGGGTTAAGAATCAGGTACTTTAATAGGTTTTGTTTGAACAGTTTTAGAGTGTTACAGCCTTTTAAGTAGTGAGGTAGCTTGTTATACATTGGTACGCCAAGAACCATAGGAGAGTTCGCGATTAATTTTCTTTTAAAAGTGGGGATTTGCAAAAGGTCATTATCACGTAAATTATAACTATGTGTGTCCTTGTTCCTAATCAGTTTATGAGAATAAGTGAAGATTAATTTACAATGGGGTCATCCCGCCTTCATTTTTTATTTCTGATCCACAAAGTACATTAAAAAAAAAGACCCGTGTGTCCTCAATTTTTATTTGCGAGTAAAATAAACCCAAAATAAATTATTGAAAAGCTGTGTTTTTAGTCCGAATTTGAAACGCTTTAGACTAAATACGTCACAAACCTACAACCAATCACGTAGAAGTGAGCTGGCAACCTTACGCGAGGGTCTGACGTTTGTCACATTTGACGTTTTGAGAGGGATGTTTAACTGCATCACAGCCGTCTATAATTACAAGCCATGCTGAGAAGGTTGGCAACGTTGTTCGAAAGTCAATCGGTGGGCCGATTTAGTTTTAATGGCGTCTTGTTGCTCTTGAAAAATGGCATTTTCCTCTCTCCTGTGTTTTACCTTGGCGGTTTTACTATAGAAGAAAGATACTTAGGCAGCTTACAATTGTGGATATATATTATTTATTTACAAAAATGGATAATAACATTTTTATTTGACTTTAAAATTCGGAACGCTGTAAATTGGTAACTGCATCATAATGTGTTTTCCATCGAGATCTCCGAAATTGGAGAACTTCTGTCGAAACAGGCCGAGGTGAAGCACAAGCTTGAGCACTTAATTTCGGCAAAAGGACAGTAAATCGCTGCGCATCAGCGAGGTTCTATCAACGACCAGGTGTGATTCGGAATGGCAGACTTTAAGCCAGCCGCTACTCAAGTGGGTGTAGGTACGAAGCTTTTAAAGAGGGGAGCCGACTTCAAATTCCCGTACCATGAACTCTTGGAAATAAGTTGAAAGGTTCCTTCAGAAAATCGATTTGACATGTCCGTGCTAGAATACCTGAAATACAAACTAATTGTCTTTTTTCACGATAAACACTTACCTACCGTACTTACGTACCACGTAGTGTGTAGGTCATATTTGAGCTTGTACAGGTACTTTAAACAAATACAAGTGCTTGTAAAGGGTCCAGTAACGAGTAGCCTGTTTTAGAGGTTATGACAACAAATCGATATATTTCGTTTAGCAACTTACCTGAATAATAATTGCTGTTCATTACGTACGGAGTAACACAAATTGTCGCAATCTCGCTCTATTACCACAGGTAAATTGGAATATTACACCCAAAACACATATAAAATACACCCAAAATCTGTCAAGTTAAATTAGGAAATCGGCCTACCATGCAGTGTTGCCATAATTCTCAGCACGGCTTGTAATTATAGACGGCTGTGACTGCATCTAGCACGAAAGTGACAAGTGCCTGTGACAGATGACGCAAGTTATAAATGCCATTCTCCTGCAATATTGCCAAGTCGGTATGTCATCTGAATGGTTCTAGGAGCTGATTGGTCGGGCTTATTACGTCACAGAGCCCGCCACAATCATATCGTTTTGAATAAACCTTTAAAACCGCACATGTTCATTATTTTTTTGCTAATCAGCCTCTATTTTTAAATAAACTTTTACTGTCCAAAAAAATGTTTTATGGTTTCAGGTACACTCTTATTAAATTAGAACTGCGGAATTCAACTATACTGTAAACCCCCATTTTCAAAAATTAATAAACTAGGAACCGTTAAGATTTCCAGATCTTTAAAGAGACCTCTGCACGAATGAAATTTTGACACGTTTGCAATTGTTCTTATAATGCGCTTTTGAGCAATGAAAATAGCATGCGAGTGAGTAAACGAACCCCACAGACATATCCCATATCGTAGGATGGACTCCACAAGCGAGTGGTATATATTAACGAGTTGATTTACAGTTAAGACGCGTCTGAGATTTCTGATTATGTAATTAACCGAGCTCAATCTAGTTGCGAGTTTGGAGCAGTGTACTTTCCAGCTTAAGTGGTTGTCAAAATGTAGACTCAAAAATTTAGTGGTGGAAACATCTTGCAGAGTGTGGTCTTCTATTTGTAGAGCGACAGGGTTAATGGTTTTTTGTGGGTGATGAAAACGAACATAATTGGTTTTGCTTGCATTTAGAACAAGTGAAGCTTCATTGAACCAAGCACTAAGCTTATGTAAGTAATTATTGCACAAGTGTGTGAGTAATTTCTCGTCCTTATGGGACAACAGCAATGACGTGTCATCCGCATTTAAGAAATGGAGTACTTCTGTCCCTAGGAAAGTGGGTAGATCGTTTATATACAACAGAAACAGCGCTGGTCCCAGTACTGATCCCTGCGGGACCCCACCATTTGTAACTTTATTCTGCGAATTAAATAGAGTTCAAAAAGTGGCAACAAATAAAAACAAAATCGGCAAATTTCGAATTTTCAGACATATCTTCGGAAGTAATTGGATTTTTTTGGTTTTCTGTACAGCATGATAATTTCTCCATAATTGCACAATTCTTCCCTAATTTGACATCTCCGTATCTTCTATAGTTGTCTCATTTCCCGCTTCTATAGCTGCTCCCTGTGCATATCATGCAAGCATATCTAGGTTTCATGTGTTTCAGTGTTGATAGTATCAATTGATGCTTTGAATATGGATTTTGCAAACAAACCAGAGGGCTCGGTGAATCGCTTACAACAACAAATTTATTTTTATCTATACACAATTCGCAATATCGAAGAGTTTGCCAAATTGCATACAGGTCAGCTGTGTATATTCCATTGAACACTCATAGTCAGCGTCATCAGTAAAAAAGGTAGAACCAGTACCCATACTTGTTTTTGAGCCATCGGTGCAGAGAAACATATAATCATAATATGAATTGACAATTTTGTTAAATTCCCGGAAATAAAGAGATGGGTGAGTTTCTTCCTTACCATAGACTATAAATCAATTCTGATATTGATATTATAGGCAGCTCCCAGGGGGAAACCTCAAGCGGTAACATGCGTGGTAAGTAAGCATTTATTAATTCAAGGATAATGTGTTGAATTTTCCACCAAATGAGTTTGTGTAATCTTCCCCAATTATTTAGTAGTCTTACATTTGCTAAACCTGTTATCGTAGTCCATATGATTTATGGTTGTGCTTTTATTCTACAGGTAAAACTTAAAGTTCTGTATTGTCGGTGCAGGCTAAAGGTAAAATTCCAAATTCGCAGGATAAGCTAGCTATGACTAGGACCTAGACAATACCGATTGGCAATGTTCTGTACTGAGTCCAGCCGCGATAGAATACCTTTTGATGTAGAAAATTATGCTTCACAACCAAAATTTATCTTGGATCTGATTAGTGCTTTGTACATTCGTAACAAGATTTCTGTTTCAGCACCCCATTATTTGGGTGTTACTAAAGTATCGATATGCATCTTCCAAGTGAGTTCAGGGCCCAGTAATCGGCGTCACACCAAGAAATGCACCAGATGGTTTACATTCAATATACTTGTCCTATAAGAGGAGCATTGGACCGTAATATGACTTCTCAATGGACACAAATGCATACAGGAAGATTTATCGCCAGATATATGGGAGGTTGATACGACACTGTAATTGCCTGTTGCATTTTTCTATTAATTTCCCCCATACTGAGTGCTGAATACAGAAGAGTTAGGTCATCAACGTATAGATATGTGCTTACCTCATCAGAAATGGAAGCAGTAATGAAGCTGATTGTGATACCAAATAATACCACACTTAAAGTAGAACCTTGCCCTATTCCATTTTCTAATGTTCTGGATGTAGAAAGCGTATTACCCGAAATGGGGCTGCATTCAATTAGAAATTTTATTTTGTTTTATGTTGTTAATTAGTTTCATTTCGTTTATTAATTTCATTTTGTGTATAATATACTTTTGTGTACAAGGGTTAGTTTATCTTGTGAGATTATCTGAACCCAAAATCTCCGATCAGGGTAAACCAGGAATATACGTTTGCGCATAAACCAGGAAGGTGGGCAACCCAACCTACACCAGATTTTAAATTGAGCAGAATTAGGCTGCCAGTGGACTCAATGGCACTACCCTTTTTAGCCTGGCAAGCCTTATATTTATGGAGCCCGAACGGCTGAATTGAAATTCGCACATGCAAATGCACATTACTTATAACTAAACTTATACTAGCCTCCAGAAGAATTTATTTTCCCACTTTGAATTTAATGTTGTTTTCCATGATGATTTTTATTTCATTTAATTTTCCAACACCTGAAATTATTGTTTAAATTATAATAATACACTTACGCAGACAAAATGGCGATAGGTGAAGCTCCGCACTAGAAAAATCCGCAACTGAACTGAGTGACCAAGTGCGAAAGTGGACTGTGAAATACTATGTCATTCCTAGAAGATGAAGTGGCCAATTGGACGTGATATATGAAAATCTGAGAACAGACTATAAACATTATATTTGACCAAGAGACTTCAACAGCTTACCAGAATTGGGGTAGATTACAAGAAAATTTGTCACATTAGACAGAACCGCCAATCCAGAATACCACGCCTGGAGTAGTCCGAGAATAAGATTTGAGGCCAGAATGGCACTTGTTGGACCTGATAGAGAACTTGGACCATTGGCAACAGTAGAAGCTAAAATACAACTAAATAAACAAGATAACGTTCCAGAAAATATTAACACTTACCGGAGGAGGGAAGTTTGTTGGCGATGTGGAGAACCAGGCCATTAACGATGGCACTGTAAATGCACAAACAAATTATGATAGACGTCTGCGAACATTTTTTTGAAACCCAACACCTGATTTTTAGGTGTATTTGTTCCATATTTTAGCCGCTCACTGATTTACTGTATGTTCTAAAACCACAACCGATGGAAAAAGACTGTCATTTGTTTCTGACTAAACATTTCGGCGTTGATAGACACAGGAGCTGTACGATCCTGAGGTAATCAAATTACTTAAACATATTAATATGTTACTCCCCCCCCCCCCCCACCACCATGCCTCTTTGTACGATAAACTGTCGTCACTATCTTACAAACACGGAGCTGCCGGGTTCGATTCCCGGGTCTGCCAAAACAACTTTAGCGTTTTTTTCTCCACGAGGTCGACTCAGCCTCGTTAAAAATGAGTAGTTGAGGTTTACCCTGGGGTAGTAATAGGCGGCTTCGGAGCGTAGTGCTTGTCACACTACTTCCCTGGAACTCATTCCAGTTAGGGCTAAATTCAGTGGTCCATACTCACTTACCCCGTAAATCGTCGTCAAATATTCAAACGCGGGGCTATTAAAATTAGAACGATGTTACCCTAAACACGTAATGAAGCGATTAATTAGATGACATTTATAATACTTACCTTTCTTTATAATTATAGGTGTCTTATTGCTTACAAGTACATATCGTGGCTTTTTACTTGATTGACACAATGGGGTTTCACAACCTGATCACTTGCGTTAAGAAATCCGTGCTTATGTTTATATTCCCATGAATAATTATGATCTATTTTCCCAAAATGGTACTTGATGCTTTAGTTAAATGAACACTAGCACGTTTTGTGAGAAAATACGCGATTCGGTAGCTATATATATAAAACAAAAATATTACATGGCCAGTGTTAAAATGAAGCTGATTCTATTAAGTCTACTTGTCACGGTGTATACCATGAGGGTAATTTTTTTTTATTAAACCGAGTTTATCACTTAAATCTTGCAGTTGGATCCTGTGGTCATAGAGAAATGGGAGGGCCAAGTAGAACCGTACCTCGACGCCTGTGTTGCAATCGCAGACGTTGATTGGAACATTGCAAAGAATATGTTCCGGAACGTACATCTGCCAGATGAGGGAAGTTTTCATTGTTACATAAAGTGTTTGTACGATAAACTGTCGTTCCTTAATTCCAACCAAGAACTGAACGAGGATGTTATGATGGAAAAAGTTTACGCATTAACGCCGGATCTTTTACAACTTTGTGTTTCTGAGTCGGGCCCTATAGAGGACATATGCCTCAAAACTTACAATATGACCAGGTGTATTATAAAAGACATTGCTGATTGATCACTAACAGTCTTTTTTCCGCCAACGTAAAATATTATAATGTAATCGCACGAGCACAATAAAGTAACCAGGTTCTTAAATGTCTTTCGTTATTATACCCTAGTTATAGACACTTGATTTCGGCATTATTTTCGTACTATGTTGTTATTCCATGGCTTAGTCTGAAAGCTGAAATCCATTCATGAAGTTGATAATTTATGAATTTCTTGAAATGCCTTCTATTACAAATCGATCCAGATCTCGACAGCGAAATAAAGCAGAGTTTTGGGGTTTTCAGCATTAGGTTCGTATTATATCGAGTTATTCCTGTATCGATTACTTAGCAAGCTGAAGTCTATATAATTTACCAATTTCGGTTACGGTATGTGGGAGATTCTTAAGCGCTATCGAGTTATTCTTGCGTCACAGCCTGAAAGGTACTGAATATCACCTTCAAACTTTACCACCTTTTCACAAAATTGCCATTTTCATGTTACACTCAAACTTCCGCACTCCATCATTTATTTTAATAAAGATTTTACATATTTGTTTGGGGTTCCACCGACAACGGCTGAAATCTAATCTCTGCTCAATGTTACTTACTCTTATATGTAAGGAAATCATAAACTAGAGCTTGAGCACAGAGCAGGTGATTCAAGGATTCACAACCTTTTACAGATGAAACAAATTTATTAGACAAAATCATTCAATAAGGCTGAAATAAAAATAGATACTCAGCGCCAAACTAAGAATACCACGAAACAAGCGATCGATTGAAACAATTAATTAAAGAACTCTTAAATACCTTTTAGAGTGAATGATCCAAAATATCCGCTCGTAACTGCGATTTTCAGTAAATATCGCACAAACACAAAAACCAATTAATAATGCTTTGGAACTTTACTTCCTTGATTGTACTTAAATTTGGTTTAAACGACACTGAGTTCTTGTAATTACAGATGTAAAATTGGCTCTTTGATGGTGAAAATATTCCCTTTAACTGGTACTTGAAGACTTTAAAGAAGGGCTTTACATAACCGATAACTAAAGGGCCCGATGAATGAAAGTGGTAACTAACAAAATATGAATATTGAGAAAATCTAGTTTAAAAATTGTCTTTCCATTCAACTTAACCAATTAATAAGCACACGTATTTGTGGTAAGTTTAACTTCATGAAGTGTTATTGTAATAAATAAGCCATTTTAATAATGCCATATGTAACTCCAAATTTTCATAAAAATTCAGTTACCTCCTTTATTAAGAAAATAAGACTAAAGATCATTCTATATTCTTTGTTTTCTGGTTCCATCTATAACTTTTTCATAAACCATTTGCAGTTACATGGAAATCTGAATACTGCATAAATAAAGGAGGTAAGTGGTCATTTTTATGAATAAAGGAGGTAACTATTGTTAGTTATGACATTCATCCATCAGAATGTGACTAAAACGTCACTATTATCTCCGTTATCCATATATTTTTTCTTTAGTTTGAGGAATTTTCGATTGATAGTTGGTAGAAATCGTAGATTATTTCTTATCTCATTCATTCACAACAAAACCCTATTTTCGGCAAAAATGTCAATTACCTCCTTCCATCGGACCTCACTTCTTTAATTCGACGATTAAAGTCCACCACAAAAAAAGCCTCGATTGACGTTCACCACCAAACAAGTCATGATCCACGCTTCCCCTGCTATTTAAAACATTGTTTATCTCTCAATTTCCTCTACTTGAATTTACGTTTTCGATGTTAAGCACCTGTTTTCTTACCGGCGAAACTTGTTTATCTTTAAACTAATTAGCTTACGCAGCGCTTTCTTATCGTAATGACCGGATTTAAATGAGATAATTTTAATAAAACATTTCCAAATGTCTCTAATCTTTCTAAATGAACAATAAAATAAAATCAAAGTACTAGCCGTTGTTTAAACAAAATGTGGCGTAGTCGTAATTTTTTAATATGTTGTTGAGGTCTGGGCCTTGAAACAAAAACAATAATTTCGGCCTTGGGAGAGGGGCTTTTGCGCTGCCATCTTGGATTAAAGGTATAAAAAATCAGTTTTTTTCAATATAACTCCGCAGCGGTTGATCTTACAAAAAAAAAGGATTAAATCAAAAGTAAAGAAGACAAACTTCTTTACATTTTTTGTAATAAACTTTTTGTACTTTTAATATCTTCCGTGTTACAGCGGCAGAAATATTATTTGTAAAATTTGTAAATTGACGCTTGAACCACTCGATTACATTATCAGCGTTTGCCTTTCTCTGATGGTCCTGGGTGGTTTATTTTGACGTCTTGATCATCATGAGTGCTTCTGACAATAGATTGTTCATCTTCGTCCTTCAATTTAACCCAGATTTTCTGCATTCCATGCTGCACCGCATCCCTTTCTACAAGTACATGAAATCAATTTCAGCAAGTAAACATCCGATACAAGTGTTTGCAACTGTTCCTTTGTGTGAGACGCAACTTTTACCTATTTCTCAATTAATTTTGGTCTTCTTTTTTCAATACGTTAGAATCTTTTAGTCGATTTCGTGAAACTTTTTGGTAAGTCGAAATCGTTTTAATTCGCTTTGTACCTCTAGTAGTGGTAATGGTTTGTTTTTCTTGTAAACTAGTGCGAAACTCCAAAGAATCTTCAGCAATATCTTCTCTTTCTCTTTGTTTTGATTATTACCGAGCTCCTAAAACGAGTTCGTGATTTTAGACTTTCTGTCCGTCCGTCCTAACGTCCGTCCGTATCCACGAAAACTCGCGAGCGGTTTCAAATTTTTCAATTGTGTTTTCTGTTTTATGTTTATCATCTCCCAGGGAAGAACTCATTACATTTTCAGTGACCCCTGAGCTCGTTTGCTATATTTGTTATAATTTTTTTTTCATGCGCTAGAATTGATTGATAATTTATCTAAGTATGTAGGTACATTTCATTGGTTTATCTTGACTTATATTAAATTATATCGATTATTTTATAGTATAGTATAGTTTTACAATAACCCTATTACCTCTATTATTTCAAAACTTTATAATAGTGTGATCAGATCATTCTCATAATCATTCTCATAGCGTAATTGAATGTTTCTCACCTTTTAATTTAGGTTGATGGTTTGTTTTCTTCATATTATATAAAATTTTTGAATAACATCACTAATTAACCTTCTTCATTTAAGTAATAATCTTCAAAATTAAGTCACTCAAAAAGTATTTAGATGTCACTTTAAATTCATTTATTAGCGAGCGATCTTCCAGTCTGAGTACTTTTCCCACAATTTATCAAACAGATAAGATCAAAGTTGTCTGTTATTTTCTTACGTTAATTTTTTTTATAGTTATTTGTCTCATTCTTATTTATGTAAACATGTCACTGCTACTAATGAAGTCATATTTCTGGAATTAATTACGATATTACAATTATCCAACACTTTAAATGCCCATTGAGGCTAAAACTTTAATTAAGATCTCAAATCCAATTTATTGTTTCTTATGTAATTGAGATGTGACTGTTATAATTATTTAGTCATTTAAATTCAGTATCCAACGATGTCCTCTCGTCTATTGTACCTACCATTAGCATAATTTAAGATAAAATCAAAGTACCTATTTTTGTGCTTTCACTGTTGATGTTATTTGATGGGATTGTTTTACTTTTATTTATGTAAATATGTGTAGCGTACCTATCTCCACAAAAATAAAAAAAATGTTTCAAAACCCATTCGTGGGTGTTGGCGCGTAACACAAGTGTAAATGATGAGTAACGGGCAAATATAGACCATAGCAAGTATCAACTACCGAAAACCCGTGGTCTCTAGGTGGGCTAGGGATTGAGTACCTACTCGATGGAACAGACAGACAGACGACGGAAAATCGAGCACATAAGCGTTACCTCAATTGCGTTCGTTGTGTTAAGCTAAAAAAGCGCTATTGTGACCACTTTGTCCAAGGTTGTTCTACCAACCCAACCCAACCCACTATACATTTACAAATATCCATGCCCGAACCCGGATTCGAACCAGGGCCCCTTAGCACCACAGTCAGCTTTAACTGAACTGCGCCAAACGGGCCGGCTATTATTTAGAATTTCTACATTTCGCTAGACTAATTACGATCATTGATGTAGGAGGTCACACAGGATCGCAGAACCTGCTATTTCTATATTGTTTGTAGTCTATATAAATAGCAACGCATACGATTTTCAGTAGGGGAATTTTTGCCACTCAACTCGCATTCGGAAACCTGATTTTCAATCCGACTCATATTCAATAGCACTGATCCTTGGGTACGTAGAAATCGATTGGCGAAGGTTTGACATCGCTTTCTCGAGTTAGTCAAGGAACAGACGGACCGACGGGCAAAACCATAACCGTTTGATATAAATGTGACTTAATTGCATTGCCTTGCCTCGTCATCGTTAGTCAATTCGGTCTAATGTCGATGTCCATTCCGCGCACTCAAGTGGTCGTGCACAACTTGAAGTTTATTGACGTATTGAATGAAGACTCGAGTGGTTCATACCATCATATTATATACCATTCACAATGTGATTTACTTGCATGATCTTTACGGTATGCTGTTTTCTTATTATATTGAAATCAATAGAAGCATTATGCGGGCCACTCTGTAATTGGGCGTTGAGGGCCCAGAACAAGAGAGGCACAATAAATAGATAAAAACAAATAAATCAAGACAAAAAATGTATCTTAACCTACTTTACAATATATTTCAGAATTTACAACAGATTGCGATACAAAATCCTTCTCCAATATGGGGCCAAACTGTAACAACATTAGTTCAAATGTTACTATGGTACCCGCTACCTGAAAAAAAAACAACGTCTTAGTGTAGAAAAAGTACAGGTCAGTGCATTGAAAACGAAACGCATTTTAAACGGTTCTGGTTCAACAGCTACGACAGGGGCACGGTCAATAATACTCATTTTAAGGAAAACGGCGTTGCTCCCTGTATTTGGATGTGCTTTGGTTTATCTGGTCGAAATTTCATGAATACCGTTGAAAAAGGTTATCAATATTGGCCATAGGTAATTGTTTAGCATGGTGGAGCAGTATGCGTTTTCTGAAAGGAACACTCTGTAAAAAACCTTTTTTGCAACATTAGGATTCGGGGTCGAATGGTCGGGAGGAGTCCCAATTTATGGCCACTTGCTGTTGTGATGATAGTCTAAAATGTTAAAACCAAAGCGAGTGGTGATAAAAACTGCTAAAATAAATGAATATTAAAAAAAAAATGATTTGGCCAATTACAATCAGGACAAAGTAAACGTCTCATCATCATTTTAACGGCCTGAAGATAAAGAGCGAATTTGTTAATAAATTGTATCATATTTTGTAAATAATAAACAAAATAAACCACCCCCATTTCAGGAGATAAAAGCCTTTCCAAAAACGTGCCATTTGCCATACCTTACTGTGTTGTATGTAGGTATTATTACTTACATCATCAGCAATTTTAGTTGTGGCTAGAATGCTATAAGATATTCGTAAGTCATTCTTAGGATATAAAAATACGTGATCGTTTTTCTAAAATAGTTTTTAGCTGCCCGGAAAAGGATCAGTTTTGTTTTCTACGCACCACACTGTACATAATTAGTGTTCATACCCGTAGCAAAAAGCTTCTTGTGACTAAAAAGAATTTGCACCCTGTGATTCCAACTGGATTAGTATGAATTTGTTGTATAAATCGATCAATCTGTAACACAAAATTACAATTTAACTTGAAACGACCAGCCCTTACCTCCGAGTTGTACAAATTTGAGGGCACGGACTGCAGAAATCTTAGGGGCTCCCGACTTTCATCATAAATTCTTGCAGCATACATGGATACGATAAATACTCTTGTGAGAAGAAATCCGAAGGAGTAAAAGAAATAAACCGTTGGTATGATACCAAATCTTGGCCTGCAATGTAAGTGAGTCCATTAAATGCCTTTTTTACGTACTTTCTACTTCAGGCTGTTGTAAAGTTGTACGCAAATAAACATAAGGTTGCTGACGTATGATATTGTCACAAGTGGACCAATTTGCTTGTCAGTAATCTCGCATAAGACGGCTAAATTGTCGTAGTCTTCTCGAACTTGCTTCCAAAAACTTTCATATGTAACCTAAACAGCAAACTAATGCATACGACTTACAAGAATTGTCACTTACTTTCGCATTCTCAATTCGTTTCGACACTTGCCTAAATCTTACCGCTAGCGCGAAACTGATTAATATTATGAAAAGGTCCAAAAATTCCAACAAAATGTGGCCAGTACGTTCGAAGTCTAAAATGTTTGTTGTAATAGTGGCAAATGGTTAAGGGTGGGCACTAACCTGCACCAGAACTGCCTTCCAGTGTGCGTAGGAAACTGTGGAGAATACCTGAGGGAAAGCAAAAGAGAAGTAAACTTCGGCACTTTGATTTTCGCACTTCCAAAAGGAGTTAAGCGCATTCAGTATGAAGAAGGTATGCTCGACTGTAACATAAACGGTTTAATGTTATAAAATTATCATTAATGAATTATTATATTGATCTATTACTGAAATTATTTTCTGTTGAACCATAAATAAATACAATCGGCGTATTGCGCGTTTTTAAATAGAAAACTAGATGCGGTCCGCGATAATGCTTGTTTATAAAAGCGGTGGTGAGAAGAATTACTGAACGTTGAATGACAAAATGTGAGGACGTCGAGTGTTTTGACTGCAGAGTTTAGAAATGCACGCCTTTGCAGTTTTGTAAACTTAAAAAGTGTTTGTGTTGTACCAGTAGAGTTTTGCGTTTTTCAAATTCGTCCGTCATTACAAAATTGATGGTCGATCTACATAGTGCACTGAAGATCATCATCAGAACCAGCAACTACCAACATAGCTTCTCAATTTAACCAAAAGAAGTCCGCACTGATGATTGAACGTGTTGTGGGTAGCTTTAGTTGAAGTAGTATTGGACTATTGGAGAAATGTAGTTTAATTTAAGGTCTTTTGCCTTTAAATTTTGTCACGTGCGTTTACGAATCCAGTAAGCTTGGAGTCTCGTGTAATTTGGGCTAAGCGCAAAAGAGAACGGATGGACCGATTACGATGAAATTTTGCAGGTGGATTCTTTATCAAATTTGTAGATCGGGGTTCGTGTTTCGCAATACAGGCCAAAAGATAAGGAAGACCTTTTTGACATCTCCGTTACTTATGAACCGAATTGTATGAAATTAAAATACGAAATGCAAAAAGATGAGCCAAATCGATTCCACATTCACAGTGCCTTTTAAGCACATTTTTGTAAATTTATTTGTAAAAACTTTAAACGTGAATTGCGGGTGAACGGGACGTCGGAAATGCGTACCGACAAAGCGAATGTTGTAGTCCCCGACAAGATCTTACTGATGGTGGAATCAAACTGCCTAATAGAATACTGATCTTTGGACTTTGATAATGTTTGTCATGTCGGCCATTTATGAACCAAATTGCATAAAATTCAAACTGAGGTTTTCTTGATATCACTAGAATACCTGTAACTCATGTAGGCGAAACCAAAATTTTAAACCACAAAAGCAGTTCGACCGCAGAAGCAGTTTTCTAGGGACGGAAATCCTTACAACGTTCAAATGAACAAGTGATAATATTTCTTTATTGTTGTCTGTGCATTGATTAACATTAAATTCGTTTTGGTTAGAATTCATTTACGTGGTATTGGGAAAATATGTGCTTTAATTTTAGATTTAGAGCGTTTGTAATTGTTTAGTTTTAAATTTGTCACGTGTGTTTACGAACCCAGTAAATTTAGAGTCTTTTGTAATTTGAGAAAGTTGAGTGTGTTATTAAAAAATTGTTTGTGAAAATAAACGCAAATAAATATTGTTTGTAACTCCAGTTTTTGTGGCCTTTTGAATTCATTTTCAGTGACGAACGGTGGGATGACAGTCTCATTTATTTTTTTAAGTTTTAGTCCTTGAAGTTTCGCGTGAGTATTTTGTATTTTTGTGTATGGCATACTGTGCGACCAGGTGTCTTACACGGCAATAGCTACAAAATGATTCTCGTGTGCTAATTAAGTAAATTATTCAAATAATGTGAAAAATCGTTGAATTAGAATACAACTAATTACTTTGCATTTTGCACCCAAATTCAATTCAAGTAATTTGCGTTGAGTGAATCACAACACAAAACAAAACTCTTATAATACATACATCAAAAAGAAAACTTTTGAATTTCTTACCTACTGCAAATATTAAAACAACTAACGTTATTGTTTTAATATTACTTTTTAGGTGCGGTGGAAATCCATAATCATTTCTCATGGAATGTTCTACTTTCGACCAGTCTTGCATCAAACTTCCCCAATTATGAGCAATTCGTGTAAAAAACAGCACGCCAAAGAAGTTGCTGACGTAAAACGTAAAAGTCGCTGAAAAACACATCTATGACAGCGTCCAAAATTGGATACATATTTACCGGATTTGTCCAAAATTAATCCAGTTTTTGTGAACTCGATACAACAGAATACGGCATTCGTCAGCGCCCCGAGCGCGTTTAGCATTGTGTAAAAGAATCTCATCGACTTCCACCGAAATTTAATTTTTCGCTTATTCCTGTTGTTTATCCCATAAATGGGCATGAGGCCGAAACACTGTCCTATGGAAAGCACAAAAGATAGCGATCTGTGCAGGGACAACGGATGTGAAACAACTTCCCTAGATTTTAACGCGACCTTATTGTTTGTCTTTAAATCGTCCATTGCGGTATGGTTAGTCAAAGGGCGAACTGAAGTATGCCTCCATTTTTCCTATCTTTGCTATCTCGTTCGTCGATAATAACAAACTTGTTTGTGCTACCTAATGCACTATAGATTTTTATCCATAATGCGTAAACATTGCAAAATAGTCAACAGAATTGATTTAGTTTAACCCCTCACGTCAATATCTTCAATGGAAAAGTACGCGATATTAATAAACTATGATAAATGAAATTAATGGCTGTCCAAGTGGGAACAGACGCCTTCATTTCATAAATAACAATTCCAGGAGCGTGAGAAGTTTGTCAGGTGCACAATGCTTATAACGTTTGCATAGATATTTTTGTTTAACAATGTGGAAAGAATGAGTAGATACCCACACAATTGCTTACTGATAACCGCAGTGGTGATCACCTTATTGAAAAAAAACACAAATTGAACATGGTACTACTGTAAGCTGCTTTTTTAATTTTTCGGTCATTACAATAGAACATGCGGTGATATTTATTAAGAAGTAGACATAGGGATTTATGTGTACTGTTTTTCCCTATCTCTAATTTGAAATATCAAAAATCTGATCTGATTAATTTATTTGAATATGTTGTTTTGGCTTCACAGAAACTCAATCCCTTATGCTCCTTAAACTGTTACCGGCACTATACAAATTGACAATATCAGCTTTTTCTTCAGGTGAATACATAGCACACGAACGAACATAAAAATACAAAAGCCAAAGCAACAGCCCGATCTTTGTTTGTTTTAAGATATTTTGGATGCACAAAATTAGCCGCTTTTCAGAAGAGATTTTGTCATTTAAAAGTAGACATAATGTAATTTATTATACCTATGTCGAGTTCACAAACGAGGTTACAGAATAAAATATGACACTATCGCGCCATACCACCACCTCTTTAAATACTCTCCTGGTTTGAAGTGACTTACCAACTTAGGATTCCCCCTCGTTTACCCGTTCTGGTGTTCAACTAGATCAAGGGTGCGCGATTAAGTGACGTTTTTACCACCTGCACCAGGAATCCCAATCCAACATCTCGTTGATTTCTGTCTGTCTGTTGGTCTGCTTGTACTCTTATTTACGGCTAAACGGCTGAACCGATTGGAACCAAATTTGGTACACCTATTCTTAGACATAAAAGGAAGAGCTCAAGAAGGGCAGAATCGCGCGTGCATAAGTGTGCGGATTGTATATATGTTCTAGCCATAGCAATTTTCTTGGCGAAAGTGCAAAATTATCAAATTTCACTGAATATTGTCCCTAAGAGGAAAGATTCTTTTTTTTCCAACGGTTCCTTAGTTTCCTACATCAATATATCCCATCGAAAGTATGTGTAAAATAGGATAAGTAATATTTTTGATGTAGGAAGAATACAAAAGGAAACTCAATTTTACGTTAGTTCTGGTATGAATTTTAAATTGTCGGTTTTAACATATCGATCTATCATTTTTAAGGTGAAAACTGATTTCTAGTGATGAGCATTGGAACATGAAAATTTAGTTCCTGCAATGTTTAAGGACAACCAAACAATCCATAGAAATGAGAGACTCGAACGTATTGTTGTTTTATCATAAGATTGACCATTAGAACAGTTTAATTGCACGGTTGGCACTTCTAGCCGGATGAAATCTACTTTCGGACGTCCTAACGATCTGGGACATATCTCAAAATCTATATTAATTAAGCGCGGTTCTAATGACACTAGGATCCAATCAAAGTAGACCAGCTTTGTTGCAACACAATTAGTTAACTACGGTTAATTATACTTAACTAAATGGCCGGGCTTAAATTCCGAGATTCGGTTAGTTCAGTTAACACCGTTCGCGTCCCGGAGTTCTGGAATCAACCGACAGGTCACTTCATCAAGTTTTTCTATGCGTAAGCGAACGACCTTGCTAGTTTCTATCCTAGTTTTAATTTAACATAAGGAAACTGAAATCGGCTCGTACCCAATTAATGAAGCTGAAATCTTACAATATTAATTTCTCCCTGATTCTACATGGCGAGGGCTTGCGACGAACTTCCGTACAAATTGTAGTAACTAACTCATGTAAGCGGGCGAAAGTAGCGGTAGTCGGCGGCAACCTTTATGTATTGTGGGCGGAACGGAGAGACGGGCAGACGGACAGACCCTAGCTTCACCAAGGAATGCCTCGGGTAAATTCAATCAATGTACTTCAGGAATCGAGCAAATGGCGGCGGTCACTTCGGGAAACAAAAAGAAGATTAGGGCAAACTCCCTAGTGGGAATGAAAGAAACAAAACACAAATTAATTAGCGGTATTTACGGGAAAGCAAATGCACGAAAGCTAAACAATATCCCCCCACTATAATTAATGAAACGGAAAGTAGCCTTGCAATTAAGCGGTAGAAATTTCTGTGCAAGAAAAAGCAAAAGCTGTAGATAAAGTTCGGTAAACTTAATGTAAAAGGTAAATTAAACGACATAAATGCAACATAAATTTACGGAAAAGCTCAACATTTCGGTACCCACAAAAAGTAGCTTTCGAAAGTGCAAAAGGTAGATAGATCGATGATTTAAATACTGTACGGTTGCCAAAGTAGATTTACGGAAAGTATCAAAAATTAATACGGTGCTTACAAATGTCATTAGCAAAACACTTTATCTTTTATAAAATTCGGCTGTTTCATGGAGGGATCGACGGTTTTTCTAGCCAACACAGCGTATTCGGTTATCTACATAACCGGATGCTGTTTACTGCAACACATTTATTTAGCTACTGTTAATTGCCTAAAGGCGGTAGTAATTCCCCAGGTCGGCTCAAAGGTGGCTTGTCAAAACTGATATCGGCGAAAACCTGTATGATCTGGAAGCTTTAATGCTCCTTTTAATCTACCAATAGAAGCAAAAAGCTGATAATAATGGCTTGCCTGAACCAAATAATGAACATGAGCGCAACACATAATTGCGGCAGTCCACATCTTAGTAAAGTCATGTCCTTAAATTACGCCCCCAGTGTCTGTATACCCTTGACAAGGGATGCATTTATTTCGTGGCAATTCAACCACATTACCGCACGCAAGTTTTGTGAATTATAAAAAACAAGTACAAATGTATTGAATTCAATTAATCAATGTTAAATGAAAAGAAATGACATTTAAGCACTCCTGTGGTGAATTCCACTTTTTGTTTACCCAAATGGTTGATTCTAAATATATCCCATATATTATCGACGCCAGTGGTAGTAAATATATTTCGACGGTTCTTTTTATGAGTCAATGTCCAACTATGACACCCCTTCTGTTTTGAAGCAATATTAAACGGTTTAGTTGTACGTCCCCCGTACTACTAATATTGAGCATTTAGAAATAGTTCAACTACGTATTACCTATAACAGGTTTTCATTCCGATATTAAAATACTGATAAGGTTACGATTTTTTTATCGCTTATTGATTGGCTCAGGTCATTACATTGTAAGATTTTTGCGAACAATATTATAACTACCTATATTACCATAGAGTGTGTAAAAGCATCTTAACGATTTCATCGCACTATATGCATGAAAATATAATTATTTTAAAGAGCGTATATAGAATCCAATCTTTCCAAAAACCAGTGATGCGTCGTTTCACATCACACTAGCTCCTAGTGAATGTGAAAGTTGAGTTGTGAGAATTGTACCAAGACTAATTCATACGTGAGCATGATTGCAAAAATCTGGAAAAAAGAAAGATGTTTAGTATTTGTATTCACCTATACCTTTCGTTAATTATTTATAGAGATTGTAGAAAAAATTAATAATTCATCAGTGTATGCGATTCCATTATAATACTTACGTGTAGCACAATGTGCCTGGTAACCCTAAATACTTTATTCCCAGTAAAAGCTACACAATTGCCGTTTATCTGTTGAAGTAACCTTTGAATCTAAACAAAAATAGTTTACTTTCAGCCATGTGGAAATTACGGCTTACTTCAACATTGTATTGCCTGGTTGAAACGGAATTTAGCGGAATGCTTGCTTCTAGACTGGTCACATTTACCTTGGATAGATAAACAGAGGTGAGAAACATTTTCGTGGCATACACCGCAAAACATACTATATTATATACTTTTTCGGTGGTGAATCTAGAACGATTTGTTTAGCCATAAGTTCCCGTTCTTCAATTGTATTTAGTTGTTGTTGCTTACCCTGGTATGACTGTGATATAGCGAAGATATACTAAAGATAATAGTAGGTTGCAGGCGTATGATACAAATATCAAATTAGTAATGATATTTTCGATATCGCAACCAAGAACGCAAATACGATTGTAATCTTCCCGAATATCTTTCCAAAACGTCGGGTTTGGTTCCTAGAACATAAATATCAAAACTACATTACACTCAACTTAAATCCCTCAGTTTATCGAAATAAAATTGGCAAATTGGATTTGCACTCGAGGTTATTCTTTTCTTACTTCTAAACCCAACAAAGAAAAATTTCCAACGACACCGCTTCATAGCGAACGTGAACGAAAGAGTATCTCGAAATAGAAAGCGATAAAAACGCGTAAATTTTTGATAAAGGTGTGCATTTTCGAGACAAGCGAAGAGAGGTATCAGGTTGTAGGGGGGTTTTGCGGCAGACTTTCCAAGATCTAGTACGTATTACCTGTAAGTGGGAATTTATTTTCACATAATTGCAATGATTGTGTATTTAATTTAGCGAGCGGTTACGTACCATCGTAGGTCGATTTATAAAAAATTATCATGTTGCAATAAAGTGATTCAAGTACTCAATCAACATAGTCCCTTCACAATCTGAAAAAGAAAGCTGTTACCATGGATTTTCCAACTGAACATTGCGTTTTCGCTTTTTGGTAGTGAGGATACTTTATGTAAGTACTACATCTTTTCTTATTTCGTTGGAGGATCTCAAATGATACACCCAGGTGTCACTGCTAGTGATAATTTTTGAAAAAATATCGATATCGAATATTAAACCATCCAAATTCCTCTGACATATGCAGTACCTTTCCTTGAATCTTTAATTAATCCAAATCCCTGTATTGTCTCCGGTGTTTTTGCCTCAAGGGCCTACCTGTTTTTGAATCACCTTGTATAGATTCTTGACCCCAACGAAGCGGTTTTTACCAGAACTTTATTTAGACCAATATCCTTCCTAGTCAACACTGCTTCTAAGTTCAAGTTTTACATCACCCAGTTTTCAACATTCAAACCGCTACCTAATTTTATTACAAATGGTACCTACCGGTTGATTTACTTTCCACACAACGGCTCTTAATTTTTTGGTAATTTGTTGATATCGGAAGCTGAAAAATAAGCCTATCAACGAAATTAATAGGTCTAGGTATGCCATTCCAAGAATGGAAAGCATATAGCAACACTAAAACCCAATGTTGCTTTTAAGAACTTCATAGATTAATTATGACTACCTGGCACAGAAGTCCAAGAAGCAAATTGTATGGCAAGTGTTCAAAAATTTGTGGAAAAATCGCGATAAAGTACAACCTTTCATGGTATGTTATGTTTCTGGAAACTGCCTTCACTTTGACGTGTTGAAGGGTATATAACGAAAAAAGGAGTATCTGCCCTAAAAAATTGAGTGAGATCCTGCAGTTGATATGAAATAATCACCCAAGCAACATAAGAATGTTACAATAATCGCGCATTTTGTATATCTGATCGCATGCGGTGGGTACCCATACTTTGCGCCCAGCAAATAGTCAAGGTCCATCCACTTTTGCATAAGCATTGGTATTCGTCTAGTACTCCTAAGTAGAGCAATTGTAGTAAACATACTGGAGGTGTAAAATACAGTTCTCACTAAAACAAATCCGGTGAATCATTAAATTTTGACAGTTTACCCTTACAAATATGCCTAAACGTCCAACCATCATCCACAAGCCAACCAGTAATGTAACATGAGACAGTTACAAATATCAACAAGATAACAACTCCTCCGGAATATACAGTTTTATACGAAATCCATTGAAATCTCACACCAGGGGTGCCACGTTCTCGAGAAAAATGTAAAGGAAATAACCCTATTAATTGCCCTACGCGTAATAGTAATATAAAAAGGTTGTAAATCGGAGAATTTTGCGGCATAGGGGAGGCCATAGGAACATTTCTGTAATCCATCGAACTGAAGTGGTTGCGTTTGATTAATTAATGTACCTCAAAGGTTCTGTGTCATTAGTCAAAATCATTTGTATGATAAATGATCCTATAATACCTAATCTGTTGTTATGATGTGATTTATTTTCGCTCGGCGTGACAGGCATTAGTAAATTAAATTGAAATTTACGGACGTGTATTATGTGTTTACTGATAGCCATTGTAAATGATACGATTTATGATCAGTCTTTTAGTAGTTCATGGCATACGATGCACTAGACAATGTAAAGATGCAATAATGTTCTAAGTCTCAGGTCCTTCTTTCTTTCTTTTCAAAATTGTCGTAACGAAGAGAGTTCTTCCACACTCAATTCTTGATATATCGTTGAGCGAGGCATTTTCTCTTTTCGAGTACCCTCCTGCAACACCTTGTTCTCAAGATATTCCTTTTGACATCACTAATAGGTATGCCTTGTCCAGACGATTCGATCGTTCTCTCTTCTGAGATTCCGTTCTCGAAATATTCACACTTGAAGTTTTGATATCACTAGCCGATATGTAGTACATTTTTTTGGAAGATGTGCATAGTACTAACTATTTATGAAACAAAATAAAACAGCCAATAATTCCATTCTCTCTAACTTAAGTATGCCTTTCGCTACTCTATTCTACACTTTGTCCCCTTCTCTCTTTCCCTGGGTCCATCCTGACTCGTTCTCTTCTTTTTCATCTCCGTCTCTCTGCTGTGTGATGACATACTCTTATCGGCAGGCCACCCACCTTCAGCGACAGTAAATTCAAGAGACCGTTCTGCGCAAATGCCGAAGAACAATGAACTTTCGCGACGAAGCTTTGCAAAAAGTCAGCGTTGATCCTTGATCACTAGTTTCGATGGCGGGGTAGCGCGCTAACGTACCGAGTTTCGCGTTGTTAGTTTTGTTTTGTTTTAATTAGGCGGAGTAGTCACTTTATTTTTTCTTGTACTTTCCTTGAATTTCATGGTCACAATATTTGTTATTATTTACATTTTGCATTACATTTTGATAGTTGTTTATTGAAGTATGGCGTGCTCTAAGCTTTGTTTTATAAGTACCGTTACTGAATCATGTTTGTTTGTTATAATGCACAGGTGATTATGCCTTTATATATTTTTATTAAGTATTCATTTATGTATTTAGGTGGAGTATATTATCAGTGTGATGTCCTGAATGCGTCGACTAACAGTTTATTCCGTCGAGGAAGTACCATTTTGATGGTTTTTTATGCATTTTTATTAAGTCGTTTGACTGCATTTAACTCCATATCTGATTTTATTGTACGATTTGAGATGTTTGATTTGTATATTTCTCTTTGATTTTGTCGTCGTAGTTGATTTATTTCTTGTATTCGTGTGTGTTATCCCAGATTTTTTGTCCAAAGATGTTTTTTCCTGACCCTTTTTTGTGCGTAATATATTTCTTGTTTTTTTTTTTGCTCACAAAACTCTTTGTTTCATTCACTGCTCTTCCCCTCCGGGATATGTCTCAAATTCCAACATATCGAAAAAACCACCATAATCACTCCGACTTGAAAGTTAGATGTCCCTGCTTGTAATTTTTTCCTTGCCAACTGTTGGTATATAGCTAAGTCAAGATTGTAGTGCTGGTTCCGTGACTCCTAAGATCATTACAGTTGGATTGTCCTTCTTTTGTTTTCTTCATTTCTCTATTTGGACCATCCTTTTTATTCACCTCTCTCCTCTTTCCTCATCCTCTAAAATTGCTTTTCCTAGTTTTGTTTTCCTTTCTACGTTACCATATCAGACACTCTATATGTTCCTCTTTCTCGCCACATAATCTGCATTCGTTTACTATTAATTTTATGTTGTTACGTCCTTCCTTAACTACATTTTCCGCCTGTTGTTCTGCAATTGTATGTTTCCGTCTCTCTTTGTAATGTTTTTCCATACTTTACCATATCTCTCAATTCCCTCTACCTCCTCCTATCCGTATCCGTTTTTTCTAATGTTTTTTCTTTGCTCCACCACTTCCCTTTTGTATTCATTATTGTTGACAGGTATTCCTTTAACATTTCGCTTCCTCTCTCTTACTCTTCTTGTTTTATTCCTCCCAGCTCCTCTAATGTATTTCATGACCACATCTCCGTTACGTACATCACCACCCCTCTTCATTTTTTCCTTAATTTCCTTCTTTATGCGTTTTCTTCGCTATTTCATTTGGATCCCAGATTCCTTCTGTTCTATTTTGTTCTCTCTCAATCCTTTTTTTCCGTACCCTTTTCCCAAGTCTTGTCATCTTTGATTCTTTCACATGAAGTTCCATTCCAAAACGCCTTTGAGTCTTTTCCTCCAATTTTTATTTTACATATTTGCCTCGTACATTTCCTTCATGTTTCCTAGGTTGTTATCTATTTTTCGTTACTAAATATTTTTCCCTACTTTTCCGGGTCTCCTATGAATCACCGTATTTTTAAATCAATAAACAATGATATAACTTTCCCTCCTTTTTAGCGCATTTTTGCAAATTTATTTGTAAAAAAGTAGTTTTTATTGTCACTTTGGCCGGCTGGCTGGGTGACAGCAAATGCGGGCCCACGAGGAGTGTACAATTGTACATGTACCTACCGGGGCCATGTAATTAACAACTTTAGGGACATGGCTACATGATGTGGGGTCGGCGTCATCTGGGTGCCATCCTCGAGCGCGTAATACTAACGAGGTGCTTTTTAAGTTTTTTCCTATCTTCTTCTACAGTTTTGGGCGGACTGATTTCAAATTGGTGTCGTCAGAAAGATCTTGTAAACACGCACAACTCCTGTGCGACGGAATTTTGTTTTTTTCCCCTAGGGGCGAAATTAACCACACCCTGCAAGGCGCGCTTCGAGGGGTAGTCGGCTTCGGGCTTCCAAAAGGATATTAAAGCTCGAATCGTGGTCTCTTTTTCCCGTGTCTCGAGCTCGAGATGTGCCTCAAAAGTTGAATACTATTTGTGGAGGGTTTTTAGCGAAATCTATCAAAATGCGAATTCCTAGTGAACGATACGTCGGAAGTGGTTACCGATAAAGGGAATGTGGCTAACCCCGACAAGATGTTATGAATGGTGGACTCAAAACTTCAAACGCGAATTGAAGGTGAACGGGACGTCAGAAGTGGGTACCGACAAAGGGAATGTGGTACCCTCCGGCAAGATCATATTGATGACGAAGTCAAAACTACCGATCTGCTACACAAAAACGCGCTGAAGTCTCTTCGATCTCACGCGAGGACTTTGGTAATGTCAGTTAGTTACATTACAAGGGTTGAAGACCCTTGTTCGTACTACATAAAATTGGTCCTCTACGGCACTGGTAATTTTACCTACAGCTAGCCCTGTATAAAATGTTAATACTCCTACCTTGCGGAAGTTTGATTCTTTATCTCCTTATTAAATCTGAAAATCAAAACTTGACGCTCTGGTTTGCCTACACACGAATAAACACGAATTCCAACATAAATAATTGAGTATATTGACAAACCAAAGTCAATCCAATTCTTTTCTCGTTTGGACTTCTCTGATTTAAAGCATTGATTTATTTCCTACGCTTCGGATAAATAACACAAAATCTCCCCATTTATTTTCCAAATTTTCCGAAGCTTCGTTAAGCACCCCATTTGCAGCTATGGATCGTCACAATTTTTATCCTAGATACAGCAAACACAACCTCTATCTCGAGGTCACGTATCAGTTCTAATTCCGTTATCTAAATTTTGTTGTGCACAATATACTCGTACCTACCTCTTTCAATGACAAAATATTTACATACACCGTTCCAAATTCCTTTGTATTTATACAACTATAATGATTAGATGCAATACAATTTATTTTCACTGGTCGGTTCCTTTAAGAATATTATGATTACGTCAAATAAGGATCCACTGCAAAGTCAGAAAGATAACCGACCAATACTTTATACAATTCAAAAAATTAAAGTAACGTACAGATATGACTGGAATCCATGATTATCTTTAGGTTATGAATAGTGCGGTTTTTCCTCAGAAAGGCCTCCTCCAAGAAAAAATGAGAACTGGATCGCCTTTCGGGTGATAATATAGTTGAACCTTTATGTAACTTGCTTTCGTACAATTCTCTCCCGTTGTATAAAAAGTTTTAGAATAATGAAGCTTGTATTTACCTAGACTAACTTTTCCGCTTATTATTTGAGTTGTTTCGTAAGCCAAATGCCACTTTAATCATCTTTGATTTTTAACGAAAATCGTTTTACAACGGAGAGTTTCTTCAAAATGAGATCAGTAAATGCTTGTTTAATTTGCTCTTTTAATTTAACTTTATACGTTCACAATTTAAAAATAGCCCTCTGCTTATAACGGCGAAATTAATATTCAAATTTTCTCGGGAAAACACTTTTTCTTATTAATGTTGATGCGTAGAATTTAATTGTATATGTGGGTTTCAATAGGCCCTACTACAATTCAGACCAACGAACGCTTTATAATTGTTACGCGATTCACAAAAATTGGCTCAGCCGATTTTATACTATTCAGTACTCTTTGATTGCGACGATCCCTATTAAAATAGGTGATCATTGAACACCTTGATCTGGATTTGTGGGTTATGGTTCTTTTGGACACACTTACCTAGCTGCCACTGCGTTCCTATGGGGAGATTATAGAATTGCAAAAAAAATTGTGGATCAAGAAAAGTGATCCCATCCGATCCCATCCCCGTCCTTAACATATGGATTCTATAGTCATTGGACCACATCTGATTACATTTTTCTTCGATTGCGCTACTTGCATTCACAAGTTTTTGAAACTGTGCACGCCTTTTCAGAATTTGAGTAGAGCGAAGGGCGGAAGAAATGTCTTCATTTTTTAAATTTAGAAATTCAATGTGCGATAAAATCGATTGTTTCTTCGAGTACGATAAAGGTACAATGGAAACAACGTTTTTAAACTTTCATGCTAATGGCGTTGCGTTTTCAGCTTTCGACTATCTGCATTACAAAACTACAAAACATTTAATTTAATCTTGACACGACACGTCCACCCTTCTATGTTGTTTACTGAGGTAATAGTAGAGACCGTTACATATAAATACAACTTTTTACGCTCAAAACAATAGTTATTTTTTTCAATTACCAACAGCTCTTTCTAAAACGTCCGAGTATGGCGGAACAAATTCTTCACAACCCTCCAATTCATGATATATTTACCTTCATCCTTTGCTTGGGACAAATTACGGGCGCATTTCCGCTGCGTTTTGTAGAGAATGTCGAAGCTTGTTCAGTTAAATTTCGATGGATGCACTATAAAACCTTCTATTCGATTTTTCATATTTTCTTATTAATTATGATGACATTCTTCTGTGCGTGCGGTGCCCAAATGGCATATATTTCTTGGACTTTTCGCCACATTGGTGAGTACCAAACACATGGTGGTCGCGTTGCAAGGGCACCACGGCTAATCAAGACATATTGTGTTGTAGTAAGAACGCTATTTTATGCGACCAGCTTATGGGGAGCAATCTCTCTTTTTGTTGTCGTCAAAAAGTGGCCGGAATTAGTCGATAAATGGATTGAGCTGGATAAAAGTATGGCACATAATTATGGATTTCCTAAGAATATGAATAAACGGGCGAAGATAATGGCGCTGATAACTACAATATATGCCACTGGTTGTCTGTTTTCTTTGCATCATGCCATTATAACGCATTTTTAGGTCAAATTTTGATTTTTGTACTATACAACGTGGAAAACACCCGCAAACTGGCACGGGCCCAAAATGTACCCTTTGGACATAGCATTTATTTCAAAACCGTATTTGCGCAAGTATTCAATGCAATTCCATATTCACTTATTCTAGGATTACTATGTCAGGTTGTTTGCTTGGTTTGTAGTTCTTATGCACGTTTTCGTTGTTTTAGTTCGTGTTCTTTCTTAGCATATGGCGCTTTGCCTACTCGGACCTTTTTATTTCATTGATTAGCTCATTTTTAAGCATTCGACTCCAGCAAATTACAGAGAGGGTTAAATTTGCAGCAAAAAAGGTAGGTCTATAACTCTATAATCGCAGAAGGGTCATATGCAAATGTTAACGAATAGAGACGAACCATAGCGTTTTGGAGAGAAATCAGAGAAGATTATGATCGGGTGTGCGTTTTATGTAAAGAAGCAGATGATGCCATGAGTAATATTATATTTGTCACCTACACCACTAATCTGGTACTGCTCTTGGTATACCTTCGCAACTGCACAATAATAGAAGGGTTAGTGCAACTGATACAACATTTTTAAAAAACGCGCGATTGCTGTAGAATGAATTTGGAAAAACTGTACAATGTCGTCTGCTTCACTGTATACTTAGTCAGAATATTCATCGTCTCTATATACGTTTCATGGATCAACGACGCAAGTAAAGAACCGATCCATATACTGAATTCCGTTTCGACTACTCAATACAATACCGAAGTAGGAACTTATAAAATGGTAATTTTTAGTATCTGCATTTTCTGCTTTAGATTCAAAGATTTATCCAACAAATTAATACTAACACTGTTGTTTTCACTGGGCAAAAGATGTTCAAGGTAACAAGAACGCTTATTATGAACGTAAGTAGTGGTACCAAGTGGTCCTTCATTTAAATAAAATGTGGCTTTTTTAGATTGGTGGAATTATTTTAACTTACGAGTTGGTGTTGGTGCAGTTTTCTGAACTTCATTTTACTTAAGGTATCTCCATAGACAATGCATTTTGAGTAACAAATAACAAACAAAATTGTATCACGTAACATAACTGCAAGATTCCCTTGGTACATGGAACATTACACATAATAAAACTGCAATATACACATGTATCAGATGGAATTACTAAACAGAAGAGCGTGGTCTGTTTTAAAATCTGCACTAAACAAATTTGCCATTTTATACCAAAATAAGACATTGTGCCATCCTCCCTTTATATGTTTTAAAAGAAATATTATTTTTGTATAAAACGCCAAATTCGAAATAAGATTGTGGGAAAAACACTTACCACTTTAAAGAGATTTAGTTACCGTTACATGTTTGAGTATAGCACTACATTTTATTTCCAAGTAACAATTATTTAGTTTTGTGCCATTAACATTTATTTGGTGTAATCAAGCGTGTTCAATTTAAATTTAACGTACAGGGCTTTCATTTTATAACGAACGACCAATTACGATTTTGAAATTATAATATGCCCCTGCCATTGGTCTTAAATTCCTCTTTACAAAAATACAAAATCAAATTTGGATGGTCTGGTATGAACTATTTCAGATATTACCCGTTTCATTGTTTGTTGTAGCAAGTACATATCTCAAAATCACGGTAGAACAATTTACGTATCGACTTAGTTACAATCTGAAAATTTGATGCTCGAGTTCACTCTCAAATAAAAACTCATAGTTGTTTGAATATATTGATGAAAATATTATCGTTCCAACTCCCTTCACATTGTTCATGATGAGAATGGTATCAATGAACTTTACAATTCCATTTTACAATTAATGAGGAAAAAATCACCAAAATCTGTGATTTGGGTTCGCGTATCATTCATAAAAAATATTCAAATCTGCTCACGGAATGCACTCCCGTGGGTCGACCTCTTCAGGAATATTAAATTGACTTCGAGCACAAACTTTTATACAAAATACCTAAAAACGGCCGCCTCCAAGGTAAGGTCCTAGCGATTAAAAGGCTACTCTCATCCTTTATCTTAACCTACGAACCTATGAAATCTCCCTTCTACACAACCCCTGTTCTTCAAGACAAACGGTGTATGTTGGGAGGGCTACTTTCAGAAAAGAGAGGAGCTATAGTCTAGGTTTGCTCAAGGTCGAAGACCCAGGTCCACAAACTATGTAAATGACTAATGCCTGGTATAATACAAGTAATATAATAATTAGAATATACAACTTAAACTCAATATTTACAATTGTACTGAAATAATATATTACTGTTGAATGCGACCCAAATAGGAAGCGATGGCAGAATGGGCCCTTGACCTGTGTATGTGTATTAGTTTTATTTTATCTCTGTAATTTAGCGTCCAATATCAGAATTGGAAGGTAGTTTTAGAGACAGTTTGTTTTATAACCAACTTTGAATGTAATAAGATAAATTAGGTAAGTTTTTACGTTACAACAAACTTAAGCATGACCTAGGGCATCTTCTAAGAGGGATAACTACAATATATGCCACCGGTTGTCTGTTTTCTTTGCATAATGTCATTGCATATCGCATTTTTAGGTCAAATTTTTGTACTATAAACGTGAGAAACTGACACGGGCCCGAAATGTACCCTTTGGTTTCGAGACCGCATATGCGCAAGTGTTCAACGCAATTCCGTATTCACTTATCCTAGGATTACTATGTCAAGTTGTTTGCTTCTTATGCACGTTTTCGTTGTTTTAGTTCGTGTTCTCCTTTAGCATATGGCGCAGTGCCTATTTTGACCTCTTTATTTCACTGATTGATGATCGCTCATTTTCATGCATTCGACTCCAGCACAGAGTAATTGATAAATTATCCGATCAAGGTTCTTAATTATTTCACTTAACTGTCTGTTAATTGTTTAAAGTTAATTACTTTTTACTTTCTAAGTTGTAGTTAAAGAATATTTGTATATGTAAAAGAGTACATTGACATTGTATGTTTAACATGAGATTATATTAGGTCAATGGGCGGTTTCTATAAGGTGCGTGGAGAGATGTAGCTTAATGCAAGGTGGAAGTGCAGTGTGCAAAACAAGAAGAAAAGTTTCAGCGCTAGTGGCGTTGATATCACGCGTTTAATATAACGATGTAAATGGACAGCGGTCCATTTGTTGAGGGCCCAATCAATAAGTAAACATTATTAGGTAGGTGATGGTACCAATTTAACCGTAACAGTAAATAACGCGAGGTGATATTAATAATGCGTTGAAATTAATCTGCGTTCTATTGCTATCTCTGCTGAAAATAACGCTCCTACTTTTTCTTAAATTTCCTAACCAACCTACAAAATGGCGCTAATAGTTAAATTCAGCCACCTTTAATCATTAACCAATGGCCTGCGTATGCCCAAACCCTGACCTAAACTAATCATCTACGCCTTTGGGCCATAAAAAACCCACGGCTGTTTCAAAAACTGCAACTATAGGGCTTCTCGCCGAGCTCTATGATCTCGTCATGAATAGACCTGATTAAGCTGTTTTGGTTACTTAAATCCCATTATGATTGTATTACCGCCCATCAGACTGGCGCAGGTAACTTTTTCAGGCGATTGGCCGTTCATCACGACCAATGAGTCGGAAAATATAGATCGCCAAATTCATTCGGAATCTATGGACCGTACTGTCTTAGTCGCTCGTATTCTCCAAAAAGTGAAGAGCTAGTTAAAGAAATAGGTGCGACTGTAACATCTAACCTCTCATCTACCTGTACTATCCTTTGCAAGCTATCTCTGTTTTTGTTTGACTACTTTGAGTGCATAAATACATTTAATGCTTTAGTCATCTATACAAGAAAAAAAAACAATTCTCGCACGTAGTGACATTATTTTATTATTTGTTACCTGTTTGACATTGCTAATTTACACCAAAGGCTCAGTGCATGCGTTTACTACCTACAATTATTTAAGTTTCAGACGTACCATCTTGTAACAGATTAACATTAAATTGTATTAAAACCAATTCGTAGGTAACAATTGCACCGGCCATCTGAAATGGTTAGTCACGCACATTTTCCACCGACTAGGTACATACTTACGCTTAAAATAAGCCCCCTGGTTATATAGAAGAAATGCTTGCCAGATAACGCAACAGTATCAAACTTAATTTGATCAATGAACCTTTTTATCTAAAACAAACCAGTTACATTTCACTAGAAAATGTACAAATTTATAACCTCTGGATTGTATGTGTCTGAAGAAATTGAGTTCAGGGTTGTAGCCGGTTCTTTACTTTCGTCGTAGATCCAAGCACCATACATTGACACGCTAACCGTTCGGATTATCATGAAACCGAAAGAGAAGAAGAAATAAACCTTTTCTAAGGTATCTTTCATCGACCTGCAACAAAGCGTCAGTTAGGATACGATTATTCCAAAGAAATTATCTACCTTAAGCTGTTGAAAAGTTGAACAAGGATAAAGAAGAGGTTGTTCGTGTATGAGGCCAGTATCATGAATGATAGGGCGTCATCTACGGTTTTTGTCAACTGGCTTAGTCTGTTATAATCCTCTCTTATTGCTCTCCAATCATCCAAACTGGTATTCTGTCCAACGATAATTTCTGAATAAACTAGTAGAATTAGTAACAAATCAACTTGCTGCAGTACGGTCGTTTACAAACATAATGAGTAAAGGTAATTGCCGAAAGTTGCTTTGTCACATCATCCCCGAAATTACCTTTGTGTTTTTCAAAATTCGTAATTTTGCAGTAACTTGTTGAAATCTGACGGCCAGTCCGGTGCTGATTAGTATCAGAAAAAGATCATTAAATGTCCAAGCAAATGTTAGTAAAATATTGATGATCTGCAAAACTCAATTTAGAATGAGACACTTGAAATATGTGGTAGACCTGCATGGGAATTGCCCACCATATTGAGTACTCTATACGTTGAAACACATGGGGATACATCAGCGCGGTGATATAATACTCAAATAGGGATTCGTCTTTTCCGTTTGCGCTCGATAAGAGAAATTTTTGGACTTTTACAATGGACGTTTCTACTGTAATGTATAAATTTAATTAGGATCTGGATCGCTGTAGGTGAAGTACGTAGCACAAAACATTTTACTCGCATGTTTAACATGGAACATTTTTATGAAACACGAGCAATCATAGTAAAAGACAAAATTCTCCCAACAAAATTGCTAATGGGATCGTGATAATGATTGTGTAAGGCTTCCAAGTCATAAAACCATAAATTATAGCTGAGACTGATTTCTAGACAGTTTCAAATTGGAGGGTCTAACTGCAGATTTTATTCACATGAAAAGTCAGAAAACTGATGTCAATTAAAAGAACACTTAAATGACAATGGATCAAATTTTAACTTACAATTCTTCTATGAGTGCATATATAAAATTAAAGAACAGCAAATTTTGTTACTTATTATGCAAAGCTTCCAAACGAAAATTGTGGAGCCTTGATATGTTTATGCTCCGGTGCTGACTTGATCTATACAACTGTACAAGGCTATAAAAAACCCTGATCTCATCGGGTAACCCACTTAAACAAAACCTTACGAGGGGACCTACATATTTTCGTATGGCACAGTGGAATATTTGGATATGCTTAGATACGGAAGGAGGGAGGTCACAAAATACTGAAGGGGTTTCCCTCTCTTCAGATTAAAAATTTAGTGCTGAATGACCACCTAGGGGCGGCTTTGTCAAAAGAAGTTTTGAAAATCACATTTACATCCCTGATACCCACTACTTACGCTATTTTACCCCTTTCAGAGGCCATTAATCAATGCAAAAGAAATGGATTTATTAAACGTCTGAGGGGGAGATTTAATCATGTGTATCATAATCCCTCAAATTTCTTTGGTAGGTGCCATGTACTTAATTGTAACTGTAAGTTCGATTACTGAACCAGGAATACCCCCACTCCCCATATTTTAAACAATGATAATGGATATGTGATTCATTTTTCAACTCCTTTATTTTTTGCAGTTTACCACATTCTTCATAGATCACTATGGAGCAGATGTAATCAAGAGGATTTCCACTGCCCTCGAATGTAACAATACTGCACTGGTTCGAATGTATTCCTGCTACCTAATTTTTTTAATGATTTGCCTAACGTGCCCAAGGTGTCAGGTGGAAAAGATATGCGGTAATCCAAGCAGGACAGACTAATTAACTATTTACTGTTTCTATGCTACCAAACGTATATTATATTAATGTTGTTGTTAATATTGTTACGTAATTGAAAGCCTTTCAAATAGTGTTAGTTTTTGTCCCTTTGTCTGTCTGCAACTGACAACATTCTATTGACTATTGATTGTCGAACCGTTGATTTAATTCAGCTCAGCAGAATTTTGTGTTTTTATAGATTGACTTGGTTTAATTTTTCACACCCGTACTCACTTATTGCCACAGTTAAAACAACTAGGACAGTGCCATTGATTCTAATATCCAAATACTTGGGCCATCCATAACTACTCATCGAGTCTTCTACGTCTGCCCATTTATTCATCAGATGTGGCCAGTTTTTCGACAAATTAAAAAACAGTAACGTTACAACCATAGTATTGACGTGAAATGCGACAGATGCTAAAACAGTTCCGATAACACCTAAATCTCCTAAGGGTTTCTTACTAGAGGAGAAAAGATCCATTCCATTCACGAGCAAGTTTCCCAAAAATGTTCCAGTCAGACAAACGGATCCCAGACAATTCAGTAGGGCGTAGACTGTTCTCCAACTTTTCCACTTGAACTGCAAAGATCTTGCGCTGGGATCGGTAATACCAATCACGGGAATTTGCCCAAAACACTGAGCTACCAGCAGCATCCATTTCAAGCATTGATGAAAATTTCGTCTGGACGTGTTTAAATTCTTTCTAGGTTTCGGTATGGGATTTGGTTTGTAGAGGGTGAATATTTGATTCGATTTTTTGTACATTATCTGAACGCGTTGGTACTGAAAGGTTTTGATTTAAAGAGAAAACCGATCGAAATTAATATAAAGCTGTGTACATAATTTACGTTATCCACTTAATCGATTTGAAACTTGAAAACGTTGTTCGTTTCCGATTGTGTGATTGACGTGAGCTGTAAGTAAGGTTTCATAAACACATTTCCTCAATAACAATTTATCGGCGCTAGTTTAATACAAACAATTTCATTGGTTTCTAGGAGAAATACTCGCAAATTGTCATTTCTCAGGCGTTTTTATTTGTATTAGGTATACCTGCACGCATTTGTCTTTTAATACTTGTGTAGGTAGGTATAATTTATCATCTCTGATTTCATTTCAGATACCGCATATTACATGTTTTGATACATAGCCATGCAGGTCGGTCAACGATTATAAAGTCATAACAAGTCTGTGTAATTAATGAACCGTTTTCACGCCTTTTTGGAGATTGTACTATTTTATGGACACGCTACTACTAAATGTTTATTTACTCTTATTGATCTGACTTTAATAATATTAACTTTGAGCTAATTATGTTGAATGTTTAGTAATCGTACCCATATTGCACTATTACATTGAACTTAAATGAGAATGAGTTCATAAACTGAAAACTGGAAGTTTTGTTAGAAATAGGAAATTTAATTATTTGACTTGAAATTTTTTACACATCACTGTAATGGTTTACAGTTTTTCAACTGGCAGCAAATACAAACCTACATTTACGAACTCTCTTATTCCGTATTATTCGAAAACGTCATAGAGATTCAGAGATTCCGGCGTTGTAGATAATTACCCTAGGGTAAGGTCAGCGTTCTTTGGTAATTGCAGCTCCTTTATGAACGATGGAAGAACCCCAATCGTGTTGACAATTGAAAAAAAATGCAGCTCGTTCCAGGTTGTATAGGTTCTCGTTCATTCATGCAGCGATCCCAATCTTTCGCCAATAGAGATCTAGATTGACATGTTCGAACTCGCGATGTTGATAAAAGTTCATAAATAATTACGCGATGTTTCAGAAAGCGTACTACAATTTTATTTACTAGGTTATCTTTATGTTTTTATTTTCGCGCTTTACGAATATTGATTCGTCGATGCAAAACACACACTATCATCTATAAGAATAGCAAGCAAAATGAAGATTAATAACGGAAATGCGTATACTATTTTACTACTGGGAAGTAAATGGATTGATAGTAAAAACAATAATACAATGATACTAGGTCAAGGTTGACCCAGCAGCGTTAGCGTAATTACCGTAGGTTAAGGAAGTATCTTTGATATAAATAGACTGTCATAGATCACAGTAAACATTATCAATCCTTCTAACTTTCGGCAACGTACCGGGTTTGAATTATAAGATAATCCCCGACCGAATTTACCTTGTGTAAGTTTTGCTTGGGAGTACATTAGGCCTTACAACCTTAAAGCTACATTTGGTCCTTCGAGTCTAGTGTTCCGGTTCCAGTCAAGCGATCTCAAGTGACCAAAAAATAGCGAGTAAAAAAGCCGTGGAGAGGTCCTGATCCAACTTTAAAAAAGCTGGAAGGATCCGACGAGCGCCTCCGGAAGCTAGGGACGAGATCGCCCACAAAAAAAGAGTGAGTTAGCAGCACAGTGGCAAGTCCACTACGTTCAGCCAACGCCACTGACATATCATGGACCCTGCAACAAGAGCCAAGACTTGATTACTTCACCAGTTCTACACACAAACCTATGAATTGGTCATGGCCTACAAAGAATACCTCAATGCCCTGCTGACGGCAGCTCCCGACCATCACTATAATGTCCCTGGCCCAAAGGTTTCTGGTCAAGTAAATGATAAAGAAACCTCGAGAAGACAAAGGTTGTCGGGAAGAAGACGTACTCAATCAAAGTTGGTCTCCATTACGGACGAGGCCGCGCTGACCAAATTTTGGGAACTTGAAGAAGAGGTTGGAGACACGAAAAGAAGGTAACCGCTGGCCATCTACAGATAGAAAGGAAGTTTTCCTATTATCAAGAATTTGAAGTACAAAGCTTTTATGGGAGAACATGAAGAGCTGGGACTTAACGGTACTTCGAAATGCAGGGGGGCACCCGCGAGTTACTACAATCCCCACCATTCGGTATTAAAAGAGGAAAGCTCCACTACAAAATTTCGAGTGGTGTTTGATGCTTCAACCACCTCCAGTTCAGGGAAAAGCCAGAACGCGATGATGATCACGGATACCAAAACTACAAGGTGATTTATCCCAGTTTCTACTCAGATGGAGACAGTATGCTGTAGTACTGATAGCCGACATCGAGAAAAAGGATCACCGGAGGCAGTACGAAGAGCTATTAACCGTATTGTACTAAACTCACGACAATTGTACGCAGTACAAAAGGATGCAGAGGACTTATTGGTGCTCACCCCCCACATCTTCAACGGACGACCGCTCCAGATGCCACCAGATGAGACTAATCTGACAGAAGAGGTCCGGCCCATTATAAGGTAGTGGTAGGATAACTACAAAGGATCGAAAAGGATTTCTGGAAAATTTAGTCCGCGGAATATGTCCATAATCTACAACATAGAATAAAATAGAGCAAACGGGCAATCTAGAATATAAACGCCCGATTTCCAAACTATATCCACTAGCAGTCAACAAAAAGGAAGACACAGAAGTCACACCGAGACCCGTACCGACCCAAAAACAACCTGCCCCTGCTGGCGGCCCAAGATGTTCTTGTGGAACAGATTTAAAGTGACCGCCAAAAGCAAGGAAGCATAATCTTTAAGAATAACAAGGAGAATGCCGACTAATACGGAAATATCTATACTATTTTACTACTAGGAAGTAAAATGCACAGGTAGGAAAAACAACACTAGGCACATTCCTGACCTGAAGCAGTAGTGTTTCCTGGATATTAGCGTAATTAAAGTAAGTTAAGGAATTAATATCTGTGATAATAACGTCGCGTAGAACAAAAAAAACTGCGCGTGGAAAGCGAAATGTTTACTCGAACTTTACAAACAAGCAGTAGCCAATCTACCGTGAATTATCTACTTTTTAAGACAATTTTGTTCTTGTAGCCATTAAAACCGCGAAGACGAAATTTACGCTATCACATTTGCTACCCGTCTTCCCTTTTTCTTTGTGCTTCGCTAATTATATACGCCGGACTCAACGCAAATTTTGCGGCAACGTCGATTGTCGAAGCTGCTATTGAGTTTCGTTTAAAAAAAGGTCCCTGGTGAAAAACCTTATAAGTATGTTTGAAGTTCATGATGACTGTCTTCTCATAACCCACCTAAATCCTGAACCTAAAATCAATGTTGGTTTCTTCGAGTCCGTAGGTGAGTCAAATCGAAACGATCAGACAGATTTCGCTTATTCAGTGCTGCATTTGTGATAAGATTTATTACAAAGAAATGTAATTACAAATCAATTCACATCAACTCGCATTTGCTTGTTATGTATTATCACCGACCTGGTGATAACGCATAAAATTCGGTACACGAATTTGTTTAATTATGTTTAATAGATTTTAGCGTTTTCAATATAAGGCCTAACGATACATTCCTCCAGATACAATTTATATATATAGATAATTGTGAAAAAAAATATAACTATACTTATTTCTAGTACACAAAGACAATGCATAAAAAAATACGATACCACACTCACCAATTCACCCTTCCCTTGCATGCAAAACACCAAGTGACACACATTCAAAGAAAATTATTCAAGAATTATATCGCCCAAAACTATTTGGCGGTTATTTTCAAGGTAACACAAAAAATCTAAATATGCAGGCTTTTACAATACCGAGCTGTCTGTAATTTAAGGGTATCTCTCCATCGCTAGATATCGTTAAAGGTGCTACTCTCGTATGTGGTTTGAGAGTGGTGGTGACCAGAACCCAAGGTGTAGATTGCCGTATGAAGTGAATGAACGAGACCCCGAATCGTCGCGGGAGCGATCTTGACAATCCCCTGATGAGTTTTAATCCTTCCGGCGACTACGGCTTTTCCTGGTTCCCAATACCGTGCTTAGCTTCCACAAACCCCAACTGACAGTGACTGGCGGCAAACCTTCAAAGAACTACGGTTGTTTCGCAAACCGCGAATTCACGTCCGATGCTTCCCAAACTGAATTAGGCAATAATTATTTTAAACTTTAAAGGCCTAAAATAAATCGTAAATTAAACCCTCGAATTATTAATACCCCCCCCCCTCGTTTTGGTTTGAACCAACTTACCGCACAAACAGCGGCCTGCCTTCTGATTTTTTTTTATTTTAAACGGCTTATGACGTTGTTAATAATTAAAACGAATTTAATTTCGTATTAAATACTATAGGTACTCGACATAATCGGTACGATGCGCACAGCAAAATTAAAATGTCCTTTCGAAAACCCACAAATGATTACAATATCCCCAAGGTCCCGCTATAATCTTGCAAACCAGTCTACCTATTTACGACAAACAATTTCAAGCTATACGAGGGGCATTCAAAAGATATACAAATTAGACATGATCTGTAACA